CAATCTGGCATTCTTACATCTGGTAATCTGAGCAACTTCACTGAAGATAACAATATGTAATTTTGTTAAATTCCAATTTGTTCTGAAGTCCTGTATCATCTTTACTGTTCAAAAAATTCCATTTTGTTCTGAAGTCCTGTATCATCTTTATTGTTTTTGCTTTGTTTTGTTTTTTCCTATATTGTTGGTATTTTGCTATTTTTTTTTTATTATTCTCTTTAAAATAAAAAAAATTTTTTTAAGTAAGATGTTCTGGCCCCCATCAATGTCAGCAGTGTAAGAAAATATAGCATGTAGTTTTATTTCTGAGGGCTCCGTGGTATTTAATTAAAATATACATTAGGGATGTCTACAGATTACGACTATCCAGAACAATATCTGAAAGACTTCTAAAGAATAATAAACACTGGCCACCAGGTGAACATGGATACCTTGATGTTGGGGTGCAGCCTCACTAAAGTCCTCTTGCTGTATTCACTATTGATTCCCAGAGCAAGCTCCACCTCCTTGTAAAGCATTATGAAGATCTTCACCCCTTGTTGCTGTCACAAGAGAAAACACATGGAGAAGTGAGTCTCAGGAAGGGTTATGGTTTTCCTTTCCTCTGCCTTTCTCTGTGGTATGCTTTTTTTCCTCTGTACACAGGTAAAATAAAATATTTAATAAAAAGGCAATACAAAGAGGTGAGAGTGACTATTAAACCCAAATATAAAAAATAAAAATTTATCTCCCTTCTATTCTTATGTCAGGAGTGTCATCGATATTTGGTTACACGGATCTAGAATGCTGAAATGGTAACCTTCACTGTTGAAAGTATTCAGTTGTCTTACAATTCTCAACATTTCCAAATACTTGCCACTGAGGAAGTTTCCACCTAGGTCATGTAATAGCACTAGAGTTCTTTGTTTACTGGCAAAGTGTTTACCTCCATCAGCTGAAATAACAGTAATAAGGAACTGTAATGCAATAGCTTACGCTAAATATTTTGTATATATCTCAGAGGCATTGTTCATATAATTTTTCTTTATTGAAAAAAGTTATTAGCCAGGAGTGGTGGTGCACGCCTGTAATCCCAGCACTCAGGAGGCTGAGGCAGGAGGATCGTTGCAAGTTCGAGGCCAGCCTGAGGTACAAAGTGAGCTCAAGGTCAGCCTGAACTGCATAGCAAGACCCTGTCTCAAAAAAGACAAAGAAAAAAAAAGTTATTTAGTGGAAAAAATATTTCTTAATTTTCAGAGATGAATGCTGGTTCATCCTCAGAATTAGATGACTAAGATCTATTCCCTGGTGAAAGGACTTCTTTAGAAGTAAGCTTCTCTAACATTCAAAATCTGAGTTTTAACAGGAGCTTAGTATAAAATGGAAACATAGATTAACAACGATCCAGCTTTAGACCTAGGATCTAAAAGGAAATATATAAACCTATTTTCACCCACTGAACTGCATCAAATTAAGTGAAAAATGCTTGGTAAATGCTAACATGCTATAAAGTAATATTACTAATACTAATCACCAAAAAAAGCCATCCAAAAACCGGCAGTACAAAAACAAATGCTAGTGTTTTTTATTCTATTTCTGATTGGTAACAGGCTTTTGACCTAAGTTAAATCGCCCACCTGAGCACTCCTCCCCTTCTGCACACTCTTACGGACCGCCTAGCATCCCCTAATACATAGTGCAGGGCTCCTTTCCTCCAGGGATCTCTATTTAACTACCCCTGCTTTGTGGTTCACTTTTTCACTTTTTGACTTCTCAGTAGTGCTCCACAGTCAGCAACATCTAAGTTTTCACTCTCTTTGCCCAGTAGCTCTGAAAGGCTTTGGAAACATTGCACACATACCAGAGTATATAGCTAAATTATATCTAGGCATTTAATGTCCTAATGATTAAAAGCAAGAATTTTTCCATAATACTTTCTAAACTATTAGAGATGGAGCTATATCTGATAAACTATAATAACAAAGATAAGGTAGTTATAGCTTAAATTAATAATCCATGGCAATTAGACATTACTTATAATGGAAATTTGAATCAAAACTTTAACAAGTCTTACAACTGTGTTGAACTCTCGCATAAGAACTGATTATTTTTGTAATGCTAAGCAATGTGAAATGAAATAGGAGTTAACACTTTTAGATAGTGGATCACAGGTTATAAAATCTTGGAACAAACATATAGTTCCCCAATATTGCTCCATTTAAACTAAGAAGCACGTTTTGGCCCTGGAATCCATGTCACTTTAAAATATTCATATCCTGTCTCCTGATGGCAGTAATGTCTGAAAGTGTAATCATTTTTTCAGAAACACTAGATTCACATTCTGGTGTACATTAAGCAGATTTGAGTACTGCAAGATTCACTCTTGCTCTGAAAAGAAAAACAAAATCAAAAAGAAGATAAATGTTCTATTGTTCTAGTTAACAGCTCGGCTTCAGGAGCTCACTATAATTACACAACCACTGCTGTAATTAAGTTAGTAAGAACAACTCTGAGTAAAGAAGGAGGTGGTAGTCCAGACCGGGAGTGTACAGATTCAGGTCTGATGGTCCAGCCAAGTGAGTGCTCTAGAGCAAACCACTGACGGGGACTCTAAAGAAAAACTTGAAGGTTTTCTTATTCTTCTTTTACATGCAGATCCAGTTTGTTATTTGAGTATTTTAGGATTCAGACCTGAATAATGGCTCCCTCCTTAGAGGCTCCCACTACAAAATGCAATACAAAGCATAAACTCAAATTTCAGCCTAAATTATAGAGCATTACACTTGACATCTTTCATAAAGGTTCATTTGCTTTAAATGAATGAAATTCTGCTTCTTAGGCTTAAGACATTATTACTCACAAAGGCATTTGCTGCAAATTAGGAACTTGGCCCGAATCCTGCAGTTTTCCATTTTCCTGCATAACTAATGGACTTTTGAAATAATAGAGATGTTAGCACTAACAGATTACATTGTTACCCTCCACTTATTAGCACATGACACTTTCTTTTACACTGTCTTTTCTGATGTAAATATTAACTTTGAAAGAAATAAGGTAGAGACAGTTAATTCTTTTTTATTTTAAATAAAAATGACCAATAAGGAAATAAACATAACAAGTCATTTTAATATGGTTTACAATTATTTATCTACACCTATAGCCAGAATAAAGTTAACTAATGATAAAATTTCTGTGAAAATAAAGCAATAATTTCCTCCTCTTTTGGTCACAATATTACAAAACTATCATAAATTCTATAAAGAGTAAAGAAAAATTATTCCTAGCAAGCAAAGACATTTGCCTTGTTGTAATAGTGTAATCTTATTTTTTAAAGTAGGAAATATCAAAGCCAAATTTATCCAAAGAAGGAACTGATATTAATTCTGTAACTTAAAAAGTACATTTTGATACAGCCTATATTTTATTAATGACTTAGGTGACCTAGAAGAAATGACATTTTGCTCAGTGAAGGAACACGTAAATAGGGGAAGTAAGAGGTCAGAAGTTCTGGAAATGACTCTGCAATACATATTTTCTATTTCTGCTGAACCAAGCCAATTCAAAGATTTCAAGGAATAAAACTCCATGGATCATGACTTTTAGAAGAGGAAGCTTCTGCCTTCTAATTCATTTCTCATCAAGTAGATCAGATACAACATGCTAAACAGTGGGAATATGTAGGAGCTTTAGTTACGTGTACAGAATACATGTGAAGACAATGACAATTTTTAAAAAATTAAAGTGGAAATCAAGGAGACTTTTTTCTTATTCATTTTATCATTTGATTTTTCAAGGAGGCATGGTCTAAATATTTTCTAAACACAGCCAAGTTTGCTCACTACTTGAAGAGAACTTACAGACTCCCACCCCAGGATAATTACTAATTTTATCATTTCCAAGTACTTCCCAACATTTTAAGAAAATGAAAAGTAAAGTATAAAAAGAAATTGTATCATCACCATTTCAAGGCAACAGGCATTGAGATATAACAACACAAATGTTCATATTTCCTTTTTTAAAACCAATTTTGCTTAAAGCATGATCTTAAAGGTTAAAGATAACTTCGCCTCCAACCTATAAGCCATCCTAGCCTACTGCTTTGATAAGACTCCACTATTTTCTATGCAGAGAGGTGGTTGTCTCATTTCTCAAACATGAACATATTTTCCTCTTAATAATTACTGCTGCAGTTCTGCATGTACTTTATGGTACAAGAGAGAAAGAAACCAATATGAAGCCAAATTCAGCCTGAAAAACAAAAACCCTTCCCTATAAGGCTCCAGGTTACTGCAACTGGAAATTCTTTTACTGTAAGTCTCATAAGAGATATCACTTGAGTCTAAGTTTGAAACATATGCAATCACGGTGCAGGGGTTTATTTATCAAGTATGCAGTGTATCATCTCTTAGTTTTGCAAATGCAGAGCTATGGAAACTCCCAGAATGCAATTTCTTTGTATTCTAAGCAAATGCCTCTGAATATTGTCATACACTATTTTGAACCACTGATACATACTGCATGTCAGAAAACCAGAGAAACAGGAGCATCAATGTAGTTATTACCAAAGAAACAAAAAATTGTATTCATTACTAAAAAACAGCCATTACAAAAGACATTACTTTCTAAATTCCTCTCAAAAAATCTGCATAATCAGATTTCAGAATAAAACACATTCATTTTAATCAACCTTATGGACCTCTGGGACTCATTAATGCAAAAGTAAATATTATGTTTCAACCTCATACTTTGCGAAGCTAGTATGTGGCTTTCAAAACCTAAATTATTTATGTGAAGCAGTGTTTATGTGCATATGAAATGTCAAACTGGAATTATCTAAGTGTTAAAATTTATGATCAAAGTATATGGTGCATTGAGATTAAGGGAGAACATTCCACTAAATGTACAACTGAGACATTAATATTTAATGGTATTACTATTTCCTTAGGAAATTTTTAAAAATCATTACACATAATTTAAAAATTACAAGCTTCAGAAAATGGATGAGCTGGAAACAAAGCCACATTATCAAGCAATGTTTGCTTGGCCCTGATATTTACGACGGACCTCACCAGAGCTCATGGGCAAAAAAAGCAAAGAGAAGCCACACTGGTAACATAAAAGGCACTTCACACAGGTACCTTTGGGGCAGTAGATAAACATATCTGTTAACAGAGGCAGAGGGCCAGGCCTCTGAGCTTGCTTGGGCATTTAGTTTTTGTAGGTGCCCTGCATATACCTCACACTCAAGGGATCCAAAATTTCACTTTCTGACACTGAGTTCCCCCTATCACTACCAGGTTCATCTTCTTAACACACCATTTTCATCAAAGCACAACTCCTCCCCAGAGGGAGCGTGGGTCTGAAATAAAGATTTCAACTTCTTTTGCCCTCAGGTTCGCAGAGGAATACTGGTTGAAATTCTAACACAAAGGCATGGGGAAAAGAAAAAGAAGGAAAAGTGAGAGGGAAAGGGATACTAGGATGTAGAGGACAGGGAGAAGAAATGAGTGAAAATGTGAAAAATGGAAATGCTAACCTACAATTACCCAGGATCCATAAATGTGGGAGCTAAAATATTTAACAATATTTTAAAAGATTAAGATGGTTTCAAACAATAGCAAACATGTTACTGCTCCCTAATTTGGACATCATTAACGAAAAAATCCGATTTAACTTAATTTGGTTGAAGATCCATTGCAGAGAATTAATTAGCAATATGAGCATAGTCATTGGTTCCCTCCACTGCTTCAATTATTTATGTTTTATAACAAAAAGCACATACTTGATGCTAACCCAGAATCTACAGGGCCAGCTGCATAGGAAACATTTCACATTATTACTGTACATTGTTCCAAAACTTCTACCAAACACCACCAGTTCTTATTGTCCTCCCTCTCTGATATTCTTCTGCATCAAGTTGGGCACATCTGACTGAGACCATTCTCCAGATGCCTTTGTCTTCGGTTTAAACAATGGAATAATGAACAAAATAAAGTAGCATGTTTCATTTCATCATTTATTATTCAGTGATAAAGTGTTATTACAATTTTATTGCTTATAAAATTAACTGGTTATAACTAACAAACAAAAATTATACAGTTGCTAATATAATTCATGCTGTAAATTAGGTTCAAATATGCCTGCACTCAAAAGGAAAAGGAAAAAAAGAATTAAATGAATGGAAAACCATAACTACCCTGTTTTTTGTCAAACTCTAAAATGAAAAGTCATTAGTATATATGAAAGGCTTTTAAAAAGAAAAGGCAGATCAGAGGCAATAAACATTTAAAAATTTATAACATCTGTTGGGAAAATACATACTGCTTTTCGTTTAAGAATGCAGTCCAACCTCCAACGATTTCCTTCAACTACTGGGCGTTTAAGGAAGATTTCTGGACTCAACCTGAAATCATAAAACCAAGATTTCAAGGGAAATCACAAGAAACAGAGGCAATCTGAGCTCTAATTCTATCATCTTACTGCACCATAGCTGGATATCCAAAGTTTTGCTATGAGTCCGTGTACAACTTCATATAGGAAAAATAAATTTTATCTGTATAAAATATCTGACTTAATTCTTCTCTCTTTTATGTTAATATGCACACATATATACATGTAAATACTGTTGATTGCTTATCCCACAGCCTTTCTTTACGCTGCCCTTCCTTGCTATCAGAGCCTGCCTCTCAGTACAGCACCTGAATATACAAACTAATAGCTGTCCTGGACAATGAAATATATGAGGTGATACATGGGGTTACTGAGAAAGTTCTTCCTCTTTGATGGAACATCACACACACACACACACACACACACACACACACACACAGGAAAGCCCTGCTCCCACTCTTCTGGCTTTAGGCTGGATGTTCTTTGGGGCATGATGCTTAGGGAGCGCCGCAATGTTGACAGAACCCTAAAATCACGAGATCACTCCACCAACCCTAGCACTGCCCAACTTTGAATTTCTCACTGAATGACACAAGTAAGTCCTCAGTGTTTAAGCCCTCCTCAATTGAGCATTCTGTTACTAGGAGCCAAAGGCATTTTAAACACACACTTGCACGCTGACTTCCTACACCAGCAACAATGCCAAGGGAGCCTGGGCTTTCTGAGCAGTGAAGGAGGAAGGTACCCAGAACTCCCAGTTCCGGACAGGACCCCTGCCTCCTCTCACTGAGCAGCCTTCTAAGGCAGCTGAGTGTGCAGGAGAGTCACACTTTCCCCCAGGACAGCTTTAAAGTCAAAGTCTATGTTAAATATGTATTCAGTGTAACTGCCTGCTCATGAGGAAAAACAAACAAGCGGGGGGGGGGGGGTGTTCAAAACAAAACTCTTATCTGAATTGCTAAGCCTAGAGGTGCAGGGAGAGAGTGTGTAATGATTTAAGCCCCGTAGAATTCTGGACAGGGACATCCTGGCAGGTAGTCTGCTAAGCAAATGAAAACAACGGCATTTGTAGGAGCAAAACAGACAAAAAGAAACTGTTTTAAGCTCTAGTTCATTCACTTTAAAAAAAAAATCCAGAGATACAGTTTCTAAAGGAAACACACACTGGATAAGACCCAAAAGGAAACAGAAGAGCACATAAGAATAAGCACTTACATATTTCAATTATGGTGGGAAATCAGCTTAAAGATAACCTATGTCCAAGTAAACAAACCACACACAGCGACTAATGAGAAAAGATCAGAGGACAATTACAAAGAGGATTGTTTTAAGCTTAAAAGCTCAGTACTGTACACTGCTAGCTCACTGAAGGAGAAGGATGTCCAGTAGTGTATACATACTGTCTATTTTTTTGGCATACACAGTCAAAAAGCCCTGAACTGACCTTTGGTTTGGGGTCCCTACATTGTATACTCCACAATCAAGTCCTTTTTATTTAACCCGCAAATGTTGTGTACCCTGGGTGCAGAGCATTCAATGAGAGGTGATCAAAATATATGGTTAACATTTCTTTATTTCAAAGTTATTGAAAAATAAGTTCCTAAAACAGAAACAAAAAGAAATAAAAATTCTGACTAACTTTATACCTATGAAAACATTGAATTCTAATTTAAACTTTTTCACAATGAAAACTACAGACCCTGACTTTACAGTTAAATTTCACCAAATGTTTAAGGAAGAAACGTCAGTCCTACTCCGACTGAGAAGACAGAGCAGCAAAGAGTACTTGCTGAGTCACTCAAGGAAAACAGCCGAACAATGATATCAGTCGAACAACGACATTACAAGAAAACTACAAAACAACGCCTGTGTGATCATTAAAAGGGAAGTTGGCATAAAAACCCATCAGTTTGTCCTGGGATTACTTGGGAATGCAAAGTTGGTTTAAAAGTTGAAAATCAATGTATGTAAGTCACACATTGACAGGCTGAAGAGAAAGCAAAAGAAAAAGATGAGAAGAAAGGAGGAAGAGGGAGAAGGAAGAAGAGGAGAGATTTCAAAAGAAGATGCCTCTACTCAAAAACTGCAGAAACAATTTACAAAATCCAAAATCTGTTCACAGTGAAAAATCTTAAGTTATGAACAGAAATAAACTTACCCAGTAAAGGGTACTTATAAAATATTCCCCTAATATCACACACAGTTATGCGTGTGCAATGGGAACGAGGCCTGGAGACCATTCTATCACTTCTGTTCAACATATTACTGACGATCCTGGCCAGTGTAATAAGGCAAGAGGAAAAAACATAAGGCATATTAACTTGAAAGGAAGAAGTTAGCTTGTTGTTATTCATGGGCCATGTGATTATGCATGGAGAAAAATCCTGAGAAATCTACACAAAGTCAGCTAGCGCTAAGGAGGGAATTTAGCCTGGTCACAAGGTATAGGGCAATACACAAATATTAATTGTATTTCTAGTTCTTTTTGCTCTCAGTGAATGATTAGAAAATGAATTTTAAAATACCATATACCTCAAAAAACATGAAATACCCTGTGACAAATTTAAGAAATTTTTATAAGACCTCCACACAGAAAAGTACAAAACAGTGCTGGGAAGAATTAAATAAATAAATAAATAAATAGTGCTCTTGAATTCAGAGGCTTAATGTTGAAGAAGAAAAATAGAATTTTAAGTACTACACGACCAGTGGTAAATTTCCTATTTTTTTTCCTTTGGAGAGAAAACTTAAAAATGAGATTAGCACAGAGAGAACTCCAGAAGTTGTCTAGGTGAAAATTAACAAAAAAGAAAGGAATTTTCTGCAATGAGAGATGTTGCAGCAGAGAGCCCACAGACACAAAAAGTCTTTGCGTGTGTGTCCACGTAAGTGCATAGGGGGCGGACATCCTCTCAAGTTGGAAGAGCTGTGATGCCTACAGGCAGCTGTAAGCACTTAAGATTTGGCTCCATAGATGGGTGCTACCACACCAATTCTGGAGGCCAGAATAAACACTTTTTGAGCTAGACCACTAAAACAGGGAATCTTAGGGAACTGGAAAGCAATTGGGAGCTAATGGAAGCGAGGAGCTTAGGAAAACAATCCATGAAGTTGTTTATAACCTCCTGGCTCTTTCATCAGCTGTCCGTATGCATGGATTTGATCCTAAATAGTATACTAAAGGATCTGAAAACAGAACTAAGGACAGACCACCACCCAAGTCCCAGACTGGCCACCAGGTGACACACATAGGGCAAAAATCTGAAGGGCACTACAGAAACTTTGTAAACAAAACTGACATTAAAACCACACCCAGGAAGCTTGGATAGAACTTTTTGTCTATATCCACATAAGTCAGTTCCCTGCTCAAAGAAAAATAACAATACTTTCCATAAGATTTAAACAAGATTCAGATTCTTATAAAATTTTTATAGCATATAATGCAAAAAAGTACTGGGCATACAAAGAACCAGAACAATCTCAACTTGCAAGGATAATCTACAGATGGCAACAGCAAGATGACATGGATATTGCAATAATACGGCTTAATTCCTCGTTCGATAGTGGAAAAATAGGGCAACACTCTTGAAGAAATAGAAAGATAGAAAGTCCCCCAAGGAAATGGAATATATAAAGAGAACCAAATGAAAAATTTTAGTTTTCAAGATAAAAACTAAAATTACAACAAAAATATAACCTCCCCCAAGAATCACTGAATAAACTCAAAACTAGAATGGAGATTACAGAGGAACAAAGGAGTAAACTTGAAGAGAACTAAAAAAAATTATATAATCTGAACAACAAAGAGAAAATATTTTACAAAAATAAAAAAACTTCAAAGATTGTGAAACAATACCAAAAAGATATTTGTATCATTAAAAATTTAGAAAAGGAAATTACAAAAAAAGAATTACAAAAAATTAATGGTAAGAATTTCTCAAATTTGGCAAGACATGTAAAACTATCTGTTATCAACACCAAACAGAATGAACCCAAATATCAAAACCAGACTACTCAAAACTAAAGACAAAGGAAGAATATTAAAAGCATTCAAAAGAAAAAGAACACATTACTTAGGGGAGAAAAATGATTCCAGTGACTGAATATTTCTCCCTAGAAACCATGGAGGCCAGAATGAAATGGAACAACCGCTTTAACTAGAGTTTATAAACATATCCTACAACTAAGAAGACAAATAACCTAATTTTTTAAAATGGAGAAAAATTCGGGGCTCATTCCATAAAAGAGGAGAACAATTTGACTACATACTTCAAAAAAGTTTTTAAATGTCCAAAAAGTACATGAAAATCTGCTCATCACGAAGAGAAGTTGCTGATAAAAGTGAAAACCATAATGAAATACTATTACATATCTTTTGGAATAATGACCGATAATACCAAGAACTTCCTTCACTTTTCATGAAGGAAGTTACTGTATAGGTTTTACTTAAAGTGCATGCGGTAATAAGATGTTATCTTAGTTCTTAGTTATGAAAAAGAAACACCACCCTGTTTCATTCTCTCGCTGAAAGTAGAAAAGACTCAGTGTTCCATCTCTTTAGCTGCTTCAGTGAGAGCTTATAGTTTAGTATTCAGAACCTTCAAACAAGATATTGTTTTCTTGCATAAAGCATGAAACTGTGAGGGCTTCACATGTAGCTCAGTGGTAGAGTGTTTGTAATAGATCTGGGGTTAGATCACCAGCTTGCAGGAAAAAAGGAAAGAAGGGAGGGAGAGAGAGAGCAGGGGGAGGGAGGGAAATAGAGAAAAAAGAAATGGAAAAAAGGAATATGGGCTTGATGGAAAAACTATTTCTTCTCTCATGTCTTTGCCAAACTTTCAGAAATATTTTTAAAGGAATATAGAGCTACATTAAGGTTGAACTTATCCACATAATACCAACTAAAATAAACTTCTAACTCTTCTATGTAGCGTATCATGTCATATTTTTCCTTTCTGGCAACTTATTTAAAAGAAAAAATTTGACAAGGATATAGACCAGGATTAAGCCCCTCTGCAAGCACGATCATACTGACCATGGCATGCCTACCTATTGATTAGATGGATGACTCTCAACCCAAAGAGATATCGTCCCCATGGCCCCACTCCTGCTCCTCTGCTGACCCAACCAAGCAATATTTGGCAACGTCTAAAGACATTTTGGTTGTTCTACCTGGGAGCTTGCTACTGGCATTTGGTGGGCAGAAGCCAGGATCCTGCTCAATATCCTATAGTATGCAGGACAGTCATTTGCAACAAAACACTAGCTGACCCAAAATATCAGTAACCCTAGATTGAGGAAGCAGATCCTAGAATTACAAGTTGCCACATAACTTGAGCAAAATAATAGATGATGGGTTCATATTCCTATTTGCCTCCACTGTTCCTAAAATCTAGACTGAAAAGGAAATAATTTATAATGATAGTTTTACACTTCCTATACAAGGTACCATTAGGAAGGAAACAGGATAGATAATATTTTTGTAAGGACCATTTCAGCCAACTAAGTTCCAAGGAAGGAAACATATTTTAGACATTTTCATTTCCATCATAGCCAAAGCTGGCATCTGTGATAGCTTTTAATAGCATAGGTAGACAGGCAGTTGGAACTGGAGTCAGATTATAAAGCCTGCACCTACTCCAGGAGTAAAATTCCCTAAGAGTTCATGAATTTTAGATATGAGATTTCCAAAGGCCTTAATAGGCATCATTACTTCCATGGGCATTTTTAAAGAGGGTCAGAAACTTGGAGCCCGATATATGTCCAGAAGAGCTGGCTAGGTGCAGTCATTACAGAGGACATTTAATAGTAACAGGGAAATGGAACAATTACAACAGCAAAGGAGAAGCATGCTTACTGGACCTATGGAGAGCCATGCCAAGTTCAGGAAAGATACCCAAAGGGGATGAGGGGCCATGACTTCCACAGTCACACTTGTACTGCAGCCTAGTCTTCATTAAAATTAATACTTGAGTTTTTAACTACCAAATGGAAAGACAAAAACAAAATTACCAGGCTAAATACATTAAGAATGTATTTTTCCATTTTCTAATATCCTCTTCAACCTTTTTCAAGTACTGTAATTTTTCAAGTACAGACCTTTTACTTCCTTTGCTAGATTGATTCCTAAGTATTTTGGGGGGGGTTAATGTTATTGTGAGGGTGTTGTTTCCCTAATTTCTTTTTCAGTGAGTTTGTTATTTGTGTACAGGAATGCTGATTTTTGAGTGTTGACTTTGTATACAGCTACTTCACTGGATCTGGTGATTAAATCTGGAAGTCTTTAGGTGGAGCTTTTGGGATCTTCTATGTAGAGTATCATGTCATCTGCAAATAATAATTTTACTTCTTCCTTTCTTATCTTTATTCTTTTTATTTGTCTCTCATATCTAATTGCTCTGGCCAGTATTTCCAGAACTATATTGAATAGGAATGGTGACAGTGGACATCCTTGTCTTGTTTCTGATTTTAGAGTGAAAGCTTTCAGTTTTTGAACATTTAGTATGATGTTGGTTGTTGGTTTGTCATAGATGGCTTTTATTAAACTGAGATAAAGATGGTCTATCCTGACTTTCTTTAGGGTTTTTACCATGAATGAGTATTGGACTTTGTCAAATGCTTTTTCTGCATTTATTGAGACTGATCATTTTGGTTTTGTCTTTGTCTCTGTTGATATGGTGAATTACATTTATTGATCTGCATATGTTAAACAATCCTTGCATCCCTTGGATGAATCCTACTTGGTCACGGTATATAATATTCTTGATAATTTGCCACATTTTGCTTGACAGTATATTATTGAGGATTTTTGCATCTCTATTTGGTAGGGATATTGGCCTGTATCTCTCTTTCTTGGTTGGATCCTTCTCTGGTTTTGGTATCATGGTAAGATCTGCTTCTAGGGATGAGTTTGGGAGTATTGTTTCCCTTCCTATTTCATTAAAGAGTTTGAGGAGTAATGACATTTGATCACTCTAAGTTTCTTGTAGAATTTAGCTATGTATCCATCAGGACCTGGCCTTGCTCTTGGTTAGGAAGAACCAATATAGTGAAAATGGCCATACTCCTAAAATTGTTATACAGATTTAATGCAATCTCAATGAAAATACCATTTGCATACCTCATGAACTAGAGAAAACATTCTTAAAATTCATGTGGAACCAAAAGAAACCTAAAATAACGAAAGCAATTCTGGCCAACAAAGGCAAGTCAAGGGGCATCACAATTCCTCACTTGAAATTACGCCACAAAGCTGCTGTGATAAGAACAGCATGGTGCTGGCAAAAAAAGAAAAAAAAAAAAACAACCAAAAAACACCAGACCCAAGCATCAAGAGAACAAATTAGAAGATGCAGAAACAACTCCAAATACACTCAGCCACCTGATCTTTGACAAAAGGGCCAAATACATTCACTGGAAGAAGGATAGCCTCTTTAATAAATGGTGCTGGAAAAACTGGCTTTCCACATGCCAAAGACTAATCCATGTCTATTACGATGCACTAAACAAAAATCAAAATGGATCAAAGATCCACTAAATCTGCTAGAAAATAGAATAGGTAGAACTCTTGAGACATTGGTATACGTAAAGATCCTTATGAACAAAACCTGATTATACCGAAACTATCACAAAGAATCTAAACATTTGGATTCTCACCTTATTAAAAAGCTTTTGCACAGCAAAAGAAATCACCAACAAAGTGAAAAGACAACCCACAGAGTAGGAAAAAATTTATGCCAGTTGTTCTTCAGACAAAGGACTAATATCTAGAATACATGAAGAACTGAAAAAAAATCAGGCCCCCCAAAATCAAAGACTCAATCCAAAAATGGGCATCTGAGAAGAATAGAAACTTCTCACATGAAGAAATACACATGACAAATAAATATGTGAAAAAATGTTCAGCGTCACTGGTTATTCAAGAAATGCAAATCAAAACAATGTGAGATTCCATGTCACTCCAGAAAGAATGGCTGTTTTCAATAAAACAACTGAGAACAAATACTGGCAGGGGTGTGAAGAAAAAGGAACACTTCTCCACTGTTGGTGAGAATGTAGCCTAGTACAGCTACTGTGGAAATCAGTGTGGAGATTCCTCAAAAAACTAGGATTAGAAGTCCCATTTGATCCAGCTATTCCCCTACGGGGTATCTTTTCAGAAGAATTAAAAGCATCATATCACAGCAATGTATGTGCATCCATGTTTATAGCTGCATAGTTTATAATGGCTAAATCTTAATAATAAATCCATCAACCAATGAATTGATTTAAAAAATTTGATTTTTTAATATAATGGAGTGTTACTCAGCCATAAAGAGAGATAAAGTTGAGACATTTATACCAAAATAGGTAGACCTTGAGACTATAATCATAAATGAAATAAACAAGACACACATGTATAAATATCACATTATCTTTCTGGCATGAGAAACTAAAAATGTAAATAATAACAAAAGTGTACAACAGATGTTGTGAAATAGAAAGAAACTATCCAAAAGGAAAAGGGAACCAGGGAGGAGAGGGAGAGGGGAAGAAAGAAAGGAAGGGAAGATGGGAGGGAAGGAAAGAAAGAAAGATAGAAAAATAAGAAAAAGAGGATAAAATGAAAACAGAGCTTTGTGAATGGGGAAGGGACTGGGGCTTGAAAGGAGGGGACAGGAATGGAGAAAAAAAGAGGAATCAAGGTATATCATGTACAGATACAAATTCCCTATCATGAATGTGATTTTTATGTATATGTAACTTGTAGCAATAAATGTAAATAAACTAAAAAATATACATATTTGGAGGCTAAGTTTTTATTAATGACCATTAGTTAACTGATTGACACATTAGCCAAATCACCCTTGGGTATTGCTGGGTTCGTAATGCTCAATTTCTGAGCAGCATTACATTGTTGTACATTTATAAACACAGAAACCTCTGGATAAAAGTCTCATGGATAAGTACTAACCACCAATCTGTGATAAAAATCTCTTCTTTTGCTTCTTCCATTGCATTTGCCACATCTTCAAAATATCCTTTGGCATTAACATACCTGAAAGACAAGGTAATTTTGTTCTATGTTTGTTTTTGTTTTATAAAATAAGACAAAAAAAAGAAAAATGCTATTCTACGGTATAGCAAAATACGTATGGCCCTGACCTAGAGTCTCTGTCTCACCACCAGCTGACTTTGTGTAAGTGGAAAACAAAGATTAAAATACAACCTTCCATCTGCTACCTAGGAAAAGCAGGAAGCAGACAGATCTGAGCGACTTGATTCTTCTCTGCCTAGAGTGCAATAAATTTGTTGAGCTGTATTATCACAGGGGGCCAAATGAATCTCCTCTCATGTTAAACTCACACATGGTGTTTCATCTGAGCCTAAAATCAGACTGAATTCCAATTATGGGAAGAAAAACACATTAAGTATGATTTTATGTAAAAGAAATTCTAGCAAATCAATGCTTTTTTATAAATCATGGCTGATACGAATCCCTAAGGAAATGTATGAAGTTAGCTTTAAAAAAATCAAACTTTCAGATCTAAAGATAGCTAAGCTCACTGTGAAAAACCTTACAAAAACTGGAAAGCTAATCTACTTACCAGGTAATTCAGCAAGGCCCTCAGAAAGACAGGATTTTGTTAAATATAACGCATAATCTCTTTTTATGTTTTTAAAAGTTGATCCCAGGTGAATTGCAAACATTATAATATTAAATGCCATGAAGACCTTGATATCCTAGAACAGAATGATCTTACCATTTAGCTAAAGTGTTGTCCTGGATAGCAGCATAGGACCCAAATCGATGGTCCTTAAGGAAGTTGGTGCCGTGTTTCTGGATGAATTCTTCTATAGCTCCTCCCCACCACCGAGCATGTCTATAGCTGTTGCATTTTAAAATAAGTGTCCTTTCAAAAAAAACCCAAAACAATAAAAAAGTCACTTTGAATTCTTCCTCTTGAAAAAAATTTACAAATTAAATATGTTCTATTTTATTTATTACTATAATAAACATAAATTGAAACTTTTAGGGAAAGAACATAAATAGAGGCTGCTAAAAGTTTTGGTAGAATTTCTGAAAATATTCAATATATACAAAAGAAATCTTCAGGCTACTTTTTCACTCACTTACTCATGCAAACACACACCAAGGTACTTATGCACTTAGAGTTGTGCTAGGCTAGGAGGAGGCACATAAAAGAGGTGAAAGATCTAGGTGTAGGACAGTTGTTGAGTCCTTGAGAGGACATTTCCCTCGGTGCTGCCTGCTGCTAACTCCCTTGGCTTCTGGAAGTACCACCCTGACTAAGCTTTAGGAGCGTCATCCCTTTCCTTTTCTGGGTCTGCCAAATGGAATATTTCATTCCCTTGATCCCAGGAGCTGATTCCTTCACCAATTCTACCCACAAGAGCAAACTTAAGGACTTAGGAATATTAGGAAGAGACTTCCCTCTCCTGAATTTGAAGAGTGGTGTTATGGTTTGTGTCTGGGTGTTCTCCCAAAGCATCATGCAGTCATGGGGCGGGCTTCTAGGGTTTATTATTGATTCATGGTCCAATGCTGGAATTACGGGTGTGAGTGTTACACCTCTCCTGCGGCGGGTAGTTTGCATACAATGTAAGGGAGGGAAAGAGGCTGCCTGCCATCCCTCCTTCCTTTTGCTCTTGTTGCTTTCACTCTTCTCTGCCATTTGCCCTCTGCCATGTGCCACTCTGCCTTGGAGCCAGCCGAGTATGGACTGAAACCTCCACAAACTGTGAGCCAAATAAACCTCTCCTTCCTTAATTCTGGGTGTCAGGTATTTTGTCTCAGCAACAAAAAAAGTAACCAAGACAGGTGGGAAGCAGCCAACTCGCCACTCTGAGACCAGTTGGCAGACGGAGCAGATCCATGGGTGACAGACCTGAGAAAGGGTAGGAAATGTGTCTTAATGACAGAGTTTGAGCCTCATAATTAGGCTCAACATAGATGATTAGTTCTGGTATAACCTAGTTTGCACTCAACTTTTCTGTCGCATAGACTACACTGTCATAAATTATGAGAGATTTATAAATGCTAGAAAAAGTTCAGCATAGATTACAGAAAGTTTTTTTTTAATGTCAAGTATCAGAACTGGTGATTACCACCAAGAGGTAATGTGAAATTCAAAGGAGAACCAGGTGTTGGAGACAGCATTGAGGCAGAAATCTACCACCCCACCAATTCGAGAGGACTGAGTGAGGAGGAGAGTTCAATCTGGGGGGATATGGAGCAATTCTCATAACAAGCAAGAAAGGGGCTGTGTTAACAGACTCTGAAATAATTATTCCTAATGATTAGGAAAGTAAAAACATCTCCCCTCATTATGTCATAGATGAATGCTGAACTCTGGAGACGTTAATGCTGATGCTTCTCAGTGTAGAGACCTGGAGGTACGTAAGACACAGCAGGATGGGAGAGGAGAAGCATCCTTCAGCAGGTGTGGCAAAGGAGACAAAGTGTCTGGGGCCAAGAGCAGGAGGGCACAGAATGCATGAGTTTCACTTGTCATGCAAATACAACTGAATTTGAGCTTAAATGCCTCTGCAAACCAGCTAGGAGAAAAAGATTCTGTGGGAAGATAAGTGACACACAGAAGCCAAGAAGAGTCTGAGGGAGAGATAAGCGACACACACAGGTCTTGTCAGAGTGTGTGCTTGTGTGGTGGGAGCCCTCCAAAACAGGAAGCATGAGGAGTTGAGAAAAGATGTGTGAGAAGAAACAGTGAAGAGAACAGCCTCCCTAGAACATGGGATTACAAAGGCAAAGAGATCAAGGACCTTACATTATAAATGGAAATTTGGGCTTATTTGATAGAATCACAAGAAGCATGTGCCGGGAAGAGGCCGGTGAAGCCTGGATTTGAACAGATTCATTGGGCAATGGTGCACAGTCAACGAGGGCTGAAATGGAGACAGGGAGGCTCATAAAGTCATGGTCACAGGGACCGGTGAGAACTGTGGCCTGACTTCTCCGATGCTATGGAAAACAGTGCTGGAGGGGCTGAGTTTTAGCTCAGCGGCACAGCGCCTGCCTGGCAAGCATGAGGTCGTGAGTTTGATTCCCAGTACCAGAAAAAATAAAAAATAAAAAATAAAACAGTGCTGGAAAAAGGGGTGAGTGGCAGTGCTGTGGCATTTCCAACAACAATCCTGAGCATTTCCTTTTCAGAGAATAACAGTAAGTGCAGCAGCTGTTCACACTGTCACACTCACACATCTGCACACACATGCACCAATGTATATTAGTAGGATTATGCAGACCTACACTGGTAACTGTGTGAAGAAATTATACATATATATTCATGTACACAGGATGAACTATGTAGGCATAAATGTGTGTATATGTATATATACATGTGTTTATATATACTTATATATATACACACGGTACAAATTATAATCTTCCAGAAACATACATATCAACACATATACTCACTAGTAACATCTATAGTAAATGTACATTTGAGCATCTCATGATATCTTTCTTCAAAAATTTATAGATAAATAGAATTTTTATAAATCAAACTTTTTAGGTCTTTTATTAATTAAAGAATATTGATTTATAAAATTTTATTATTTTTAGATGTAAAATATCACTCAGTTTGGTAAACTGAGTAATAAAATTCTGTTAAAATAGGCATACACCCACACACTAGATCATTTGTAGGATACTCTTCTTAAAAATATATACAGGAACAGGTTTTACAACTTCTAATTGATAAGCTCCAAATAACAATTTTCTAATATTTAAGTAATTTTACTTCTTTCTCATTTAGAGTTGAGAGAAAAAATTACGTTTTAAGGGGTTTTGGTAAAAATACTTGTTAAACATTTGCAGCTTGAAAGGTTATATTTACCTTGAAAGATTATCAATTCGAAGTCCATATTTCGTTTCTGTCTCCTTCTTCCCCACCTTAATTCTAAATTCTTTATCCACCAGCAGGACAAAGGCAATAGCACCACTGTCTGGTTTCATATATAATATAAAGGAATCTTTCACTATTAACCACCTGTGAAAAGGTAATAAGAACTTTTGAAACCCAAAGAATAAATTATTATGACAAATCTTAAATAAACATTCTAGTAGACTGTAGATTTACTTTCATATTTTACATGGAGTTTTTTTTAATCACTTTGAACCAAAACAAAACAGAAAAGAACACAAACACTTTCTATTATGTTTTTCTAAGAAGTGTTAGCACCAAGCAATTAAAAGTAATTCAATAGCTCCTTAAACATGAAAGGCAAAACCTGGAAGACTGTCCTTGATACTGTCAGGTGGCATTCGTAAAATGTACGAAGGACAACCAGTTGTTGGAATGACCGAATAAGTAGCTAACACAAACTACAGTGAAAGGGAGAGATAAGTCTATCTGCAAGCAAAACCCATTAAAAATTCAATATTCCACATATTATGTTACTTATTTCAAATGATTTGTAGTTTATAGACCTTTGATAAATGATGCTTAATGGGACAGGAACATCTCTCAAAATTATTTCCATTCAATGCAAAGTATATTTAAGAGCTTCAAAATGGAAAACTACAGTGATAATCTGAGAGTTAGGTTAGATAAAAACCTTAGACAGCAAAGATAAATCAGACATGGAAGCATGTTCTCTGAGGAGCCCGCTTAGGCTAATAGAGACACAAACAATTCTAGGCTAAATGAGAAAGGTACTAGAAAAGTGAAGCAAAAAGTAACAGGTGCGAAGAAGAGGGAGCCCTCAGTCCTAGTCAAGAGGATGAGGCCATGGAATTGTCCTGAAGAGGCGGTGTTTCAGTGAGGCCAGGAAGGGTCCCAACAATTAGAGGGTGCACATCCCACAGGAAGGGAAGAGACAACAAAGGCACGAGGGGTGCAAATGCTGCAGTTGCTGGGAGAACAGTTTGGAAGACCAGTGCCTGAGGGAATATTCAAGGGGAAGAGCTGGGAAAGTGGGCAAAAGCCACTCTGAGGTGGGTTTGAAAGCAAAGGAGGCTGACTTTGTATCATGGAAGCAGTGTTTCCTAAATGTACCCAATGATCAGAAAATCTCTTGCAATACTATTTAAAAAGAACTGATACCTGGGCCCTCCTCAGCCCCATTTCAAAGGCCTGAGAGTGTGTTTTTTAACAAAAACACCAAGGAAATTCTTTTATTTTGAGAAAGGATCTCACTATGTAGCTCAGGCTGGCCTCAACCCTCAAACTCACGATAATCCTTTTGCCTCAGCCTCCCCAGTGCTGGGACTACAGAAGCGCATCACCATGCCTAACAAGGCAATTGTTAAATAAAAGACTCCTCATGCCCCTGCAAGGCAACAGGATAATAAAATCCTTGGACCCATGTTTTAGAAAAAAATTATGAAGAGAAAGAGGGATGTGGTGAGGAGGGTAAGCAAATGACTGCAATAATACAGATCAGTGCTTCTCAGAGATTACTGTGCACATACAGCTCCCCGAAGATCCGGATAAAATGCAGATTCCAATTCAACAGAGCAGAACCCGAGTCTGCATTTTTAGAGAAACTCATAGGTGATGGCCATGCTAGGACCACATCCTGGGTAGTAAGGATTTAGATGACTGACAGGAGAGAAGAGATGGAATCCATTCAAAGCACTTACAACTATAAATATAACTATCATGCTGCAATATAACATGTATCTTGGGATTAATGGCAATGTACCTTTCACTGTAATAAAATTTTTAAATTTAAACACACTGTTTTTATTATACCATATATATTACACTGCAGAGTAGTGTGTATACATATTTGCTTGTAACTGGTGATCAGATGAATCAGGCAACAATGCAATAAAGCAGTAATGAGTATAATATCATATATCAGACAAAGTAAAGCACATAGGAGATCCCACCTAAGTGGAACCGATAAGGGCAGAACACCAGGTTATAAATTAAGTAATATGTATATTAGCATGGGAACTCAGTATGTGAAAAAACCTATGAAAAACACTTACTGAAATTGCTAACCACATTACACTTTAGTGGCCTTACAATCTGGATCTAATGTGGACAAATCTACATTGATTTTCTCCACAGTTTTGCTTCATTCATTTGTCTTTTAAGAGCTGGAACCTGCCTAATAAAAAAGGGTGTGGTAGATACTTTACAGTAAAGGAAATACATATGATATGGTGAACAGAAGAAAAGCCATCAGGGGCACAGAAAGCAATAATCAACCACAAAGATTAATGTAAATAGAGAGATGACACACTCTCTATTGGGCCTGAGCTTCCTAGTTTTTCCTGTCAAATCAATAAGTAAAAGAAATAAAGAGATCTCACCAAAACCAAATTTCAAAGGAAGTTTCTCCCTGGGGACCTAAAATAAGGCAACTGAAAAATACAGTGGATAATATTCTCAGGAATGATTTTTAGTGAATGCAGGTATTACACATTTTGTAAGAAATCTGATAACAGGCCATGGTACCAAAGGGTAACTCGTGATTATGCATGAACTGAGTTATGAGTTATGAGTTCAGACACGTAGCTGCCAGTTGAGAAAACTTGGTTAAGGTTAAAAGATACTAGATAGAACACGTGTCTATCAAGGTTCCTTCTTTCCCATGGCTCGTGATGTAAGCTAGAGAGTAAGCAGCATGGCACTGCTGCAGCTATCTGGCACTAGTGTGCTATGCTGCTGAGCAGCAAAGGACAACAGGCTTTGAAAACCACAGATGCCAGAGCTGACAAGCTGAGAAGATGTCAAGCGCCCCAGACTCATGACTGCCTGCCTGTATGTTAAGGATATATGAATGACATCAGAGCCAGCTCTGGTTAGAGCTCCACACCACAGAGATAGGCAGTGTGGGATGACAATGGAATGTGTCATTTCCAGATGTACCAAACTCCCACCACTGCAGTAGAAAATAAACCTGAAAAACACTCCTACGAGCACACATTTGTGGCATAACCACCAATGCCAAGGGCTGCCCAACACGTCTTTAACTAGGAGCCACTACACGCCATCAAGCAGGTGTGACCTGCACGAGGTTCCTACTAAAGAGGCTCCAGAGAAGGCTGCACTCTGCTGCAGGAATGGGGCACTTTTCTCTAAACCACAGACACTCCTGTAGGCTGCAGTCTTCTTCAACAACAGTGAGGTGGCTGTGCATCTCATGTCACTGGGCCAGGTCACTCTCAACTCTAAGGAGGCTATTCACATGGTGTCCTAGGTAAACAGTTCCACCCTTGCTTCTCCAAGGTGTGACAGCCCAGAAATACAGAACTGCTTAGCACTGTCATCTCAAGTTTGGAAACAATGCAAAATGGAATGGTTTCTGTTTGTCAATGATGCTGAATTCTTAACAGTCATCAGATAGCAGAGAAAACACTTTTACTAAAAGCTCTTCTTAATAGTGCCATTCCTTAAAAGTCCTCTGATACCCCCCTCACTTCCCCCCATCAGTAGATTTGGTTTTCTTCAACACGAAGATACGCATCAAGAGAGGGTGAAGCACCCGCCCTCGGATTAGCCTATCTGAGCTCCAATTCTGACTCTGCTTCTCCGTCTTGGCCTCATCTCCCATTGCTCTTTCCCACTATGCTGCTCTAACTGTGCTTCATGCTTGATACATATGTGGGGGATGTTTTGTTGTTTCTTGAGCTTCTGCATGTGCTCTTCTGTCCATGGAGGCAGTCAAACCTCTGTTTAAACATCCCTTCATAAGGAGGCTATTTGATCTGAGTGTCCCCATCCCCAGCTCCACTCCACCACATGGAGCTGCTCCACGGTTCTTCACAGCACACCTGGAAGCACTCATCTGCTTGCTTCCTGGTCTGCCTCCCGAACTTGGAAGTAAGGTGGTTGAGAACAAGGAATGCGGCTGTCACATCCACCCTGTCTGCCCAGGGCCTGGAATAATCTAGCAGCCCAGAGCAAGTATTAAGGCAAAGCAATCATGCCTACTGAATCTTACACGAAAGCATTCCCAGAACATGAATGAAACCATTTAAATACTATTACTGTATAAAAATCTTAATTCTTGGAATAGGTTGTAGTCCAGCAATGTAAATGGTAAATTTATTGCTTAGCATCTACACAACTCTTTCTCTTAAGACACTATTTAAAATGAGAAAGTTAACGTATAGTCTACTACCAGCTACAAAGATTTTGCTCCATACATGTGCTCCTTAAGCAGATGTTTTACATTGTTGGAAGAAATGCTTCTCGTGTTTGTCTTTTCTTTTCTTTTTACTTGCCCCTGCAATAAAGTCACTAAGAGAAATAATTTAAAATTTAACTGTTTGCCTTACCTCAACTTGTCAATATAAGATAAACAAGAAAGTAGTCAGAATGCTTTGTATGGCAACCTAATAAAGGGGAGCTGTAAATGAATGTCACCTTTACAAGTGACTCCCACTTACACACCAATCGGCAGATTTCTACTGTGAGAAACTCTGCAGAGTAATTTTGTCAGCTATGCTTTGTCATCTATATCTGATGTCTGATACTAAAATCACTTCCATTTGACTCAGGAAATATTAATATGGAACCAAGGCTTTAATCTTCATAAAAAGATTTGCACAATTTAAAATGAGGACACATTTCATTCCAAGGAGCACCATATCTTCTTAAATTGTCCTAGTTGAAGCATGATTTAATCCAAAGTTAAAAAAAGAGAGGCACATTTCTTTTATGTAACAAGTTCTTTCTCCCTCTTTCCTGGCTTTGCTTTTGTGGAGGTTGCAATTCAAAAGCCAGCTTCTAAGGGAGTTTTTCCCAGACTCCTCAAGCTGAAGTCACCCACTCCAGTTCACAGATCCCTCACTGTATCACTGCCTTGCTTTTTCTCCACAACTTCCCACTCCCTGAATTTATATCACTGCCGTCACTTGTTGACTTAGCTATTGCCTTCATTTCTCTCAAACAGAGCTCCATGAGGGCAGGGGCTTCTTTTCACAGAGGCTGGAACACAAGCTGTAGGTAGGAGGCACTTCATAAATGACTGAATGCACCAAACCAAGGATTCCATCCCTCGAGTAACCACCTTAGGTTGGGTCACCACAGGTGTAAGCTCTAAAACCAGGATATAAGTGTATCAAGCAATTTAGAAAGACACTGATTAGGGTAGTGGTGCCAGGAAGCATCAACAGAGAAGTAGGGAGGGAGGAAAGAAGGGAGCCTGAGAGGATGTGTTGCCATGCACTTTACGATGGGCAGTCAGGCTGGAGGCCAGCTGGGCACTCTGAGAGACAGCCCTAGAACATGCTGAAAAGCATCACAGCCCAAGGGGGAGCTGGCAGGAGTGAGTAGCTGCAATGGGGCTGCTCATAACTCCCATCTGTTCTGCACATGCAGGAGGCCTCTGGCAGTTCTGAGAATCTTCGGGTAAAGAATCACTGGTGCTTGAAGTTGAAGGCTGAAATGCTGCAGGCAGCTAGTAGCAGCTGAGTTAGGCAAATGACTGCGGAGGAACGGTCAGAAGGAATCTACCCAGGTTTCCCAGGGCTGGAAAGCCAGCCTCTAGAAGAGGCCCGGTGCAGGGCAAGGAGCCCTGGCAGGGGCAGGGGGCTGATCCTTCATCCTCTTCCAGCTTGGCTCGGGTCTGAGCACTCCCCAGGGGGCTATGCAATCTGGGGTGAGAGGACATCTCAAAGGGGAGTCTCTGGATTTTCTTCCATGTTGCCTCTACCCCAAGTTTATATAAGTTAGAGACGTTTATTTGAAAGCAAATATCTTTTCTAGTATACTAGTTCCCTTTATGTTCTAGTAAAATTTTTTATAACAGAAATTTTCATTTTCTTTAGTTTAATCTTATCTTTTAATTATCATTTTTTTCAATCCTTCCAAAGCTCATAAAGCAAGAGCCCAGCTTGGTGAAGGTTTTGGTGAAGCTTTTACTTTTTGGCAGTAGTATATTTTAAATAGACATGTTTACAAGTAGATCCCTGTATTACTTTTATATAATTTGAATACCCACAATTTGAATACACACATAGCTTAATTCCTTATTTACAAAAGAACTTATTTATCATTTTCAAATTGAGGCATACTACGTATAACTATATATGTATATTTAATTTCTTAACAAGGTTTTAATCATTTTTTAAAATCCTGGTATGCTATTATTACAACAGTTCTTACGTGTTAGGTGCAAAACTTGGGAAGACACTAAAGTCAGAAGAGAATTCTGCTGCTCAAGGAGTCTTCAACTGGTTAGGACATAAGATGAAATAAAGTTCTCTATCTCATACTTTCACAAATATAAGTCTAAAATTACCATCCCTGAAGTCTTCTCAATCTTTTTCTTTTTATTCTTTTAAAGTGTACAATACAGATGTTTTTTAAAGAAATATTTGAAAAATTACAAAACCGCCACCAATATCTAATTCCAGACTATTTTTATTATTCCATAAAGAAATCCTACACTCTTTAGCAGAAGTGAATTAGGAATAAAAAAACTCCCTTCCATCCCTTGAAGATCTTTATCTACTTTGATGTCCAGAGATGAAGGCATTATGTAATATTTGGCTTCTTTGCAGCTAGCTTTTTCACTTATGATATACTCAAGGTCCATCCACATTGTATCATGTGTTAGTACATCATTCCCTTTAAGTTTTATTCTGACATAATTCATATACCATAAAACTCACCCTCAAAAAGCGCACAATTCCATTTGTAGCACATGCACAAAACTGCACACCCGTCACCACTCTCTAGTTCCAGATAATTTCTTCACCCCACAAAGAAGCCCCACACTCCACAAAGAAGCCGCACACTCCACATTGTCTTCATTCCTTCCCATGCTTCAGTAATACTTCACTGTATGGAAATATCTCAGTTTTTTCATCTATTCACTTGAATTGTTTCTACTTTTTTGGTTATTATGAATAATGCTGCCATGGACAAGTTTTGGTGTCTTTTTTTTTCAATTTTTTTAGATGAATACCTAGGAGTGAAATATCTGGGGCATATGACAACTCAATGTTTAACACAATAAGAACTCTGTTTTGCAAAGTGTCTGTACCGGGGCTGGGGATTTAGCTCAGCGGCAAAAGCGCCTGCTCTGGCAAGCACAAGGTCGTGAGTTCGGTTCCTGGTACCGGAGAAAAACCAAAAAAAAAAAAAAAAAACAAAGTGTCTGTACCATTTCACATGTTCACTGGCAATGTACAAAGGCTCTAATTTCTCTAAATCTTTGCCAATTTTTGTGATTCTCTATCTTTTTGTTAGAAAAATTTCACACCCATTCTAGAGAGTGTGAAATTGTTATCTTACTGTGGATTTGACTTATATTTCCCTAAGATAGTGATGATGAATAATTCCATATGCTTATCAGTCATTTGTTCCTATTTGGCCAATCAGTTTCTGAGTCTTATGTCAATTAGGTTGTGGGTTTGGTTTTGTTTTTGGTGTTGGGTGTGCAGCCCAGGAGCCTGGACATGCTATGCACATGCTCTACCACTGAGCCACACCTCTACCCCCTCCACTGGATTTTCATGCACATAATTTGGATACTCTGCCACCTAGAGTATCCAGTTTTGAACAGAATATTTAAATGGATGGTAGAACTCGGATTTTAAAATATCACTTAAAATTTGCTCTCTCATGGCTTTCAAAGGATTTATTATTTGAAGCTACTACATAAATACTTTCCTAAACACCTACTTTATTAAAACGAACACACAAAATTCCTAAATCCTACCTTTTTGACCATCTGTAGCAGGCTCTCCCCTGACCACAGCAATTCAAACCTGGTATTCTGTGTCCCCCGGATCTTTTCATGATCATGCCTTCTCTGAAAGAGACACCAAGTTAACCCATCACTCTCAAATTCACATTGAGCTTGGTCAGTCTCACAACACGGGGCCAAATAAATCATCTCATTCTCATGTGACCTTCCTCCCCACTCTTTTTCCTGCATCACGAACTGCTTGATGTCATATTTGTTAGCCTGGGTGCTCTAGCAGCTTAGAAGCTCCTATGTCAGATACAGCCCTTTTGAGGTATGAGGTTGCATAATTCTATTGTGTACAATGCAGGGCCTTAACCACCCTGCCTCTTGGTTCTAAACACTAAGAGTTGCCTCCAGCCAGTAACTATGACAGTCCCATGCATTTCTATGGCTCAGTGAGTGCTGCCGAGACTGGAAGAAGCTGCCCCTCAGTTGCTGTTAAGCCTGGAGGGAGGAACCCCCAAAAGATCCAGCACACTTCTACATTCCTCCATGCACAGTTCTAGCAACTGAGCCAGTCAAAGGCCGGACAGCAGTGCTACTCCCTTCGAAAGTACATTCCTTGATTTTGAAAGATGTGTCAAAAAAGGAGCAATATCAACAGCTAAACAAAGGAAAACAATTTTGAAACAATGTTCCTAAAGAACTAAAATTAAAATTTAAGCCTTGCATTTAATCAAGCACTAAAATAATATTGTGAAGGAATATAATCATTGAGTAAATTTCCATCTATTTATACAGTTCTTTTATACAATATTTTAAAATAGTTATCAAAATGATTGATAAACATTTTCATAAGAGACTAGAAGAAAAGGACTTAAATATTTGATTTTTTGTGCATTTTCCCCACAACACACTTGCTATGAGCATTGAACACTCCCACTGATGGGGTAGAGGAACTCTGTACTGTCAGCACATAAGAGACAGCGAACAGCTGCTACCACACTGTTCATTACAGGAGACACTTTGCTTCATGTAAGTAGATCGCCTGAGTAAAATGGAGATAAAAGCTAGCAGTGAAGCCAGGGGCGCTCCATCACCAGGGCATGCTGCTGCATCAAATGTTAATGCTCATCAACTTTTTACATTTCTCTACAAAGATCCAACACTGGAACTTACAGGCCCTTTGGTCCCAAGTCACGGATGAAAGATAACTGGCTTATATCAAGGAATTCTGTCTGAAAAGAAGTAAAAAAAGAAAACTTTAGGCAAAAAGGAAGATGGAAAGAAAAATAAATTTGTGCATTATATACAGATCAAAAATCATGATATTGCCCTGAGACTGTACTGATTAGAGGTATACAATTAAAACACAGTCAAGAAAGGACCATCTACACTAGGATGTAGAGATGAAATACTCAAGTGGGTCATGGGTAACGCTTTTACTCCCAATACTGTTTTGTGTCCCTTTCTATTGTTGTGGAAGAGGGTTGTTTGTCAGATCATACAAGAAGTAATAAAAAAAATGGATGAAGGGATTGACATTGGTGCCAAGCTGTAGAAGACACAGTGGCCTTCGGCATGTGGAAATGAGAGGTAAAGAGAGAGGGGAAGAGCAGATTACTTAAGAAGGCAGCAGATGTAAGGTTGGGCTATAGGAAATCAGATGAAGGAGGGTAAGAGAAAATCATATGGCCAACAGGTCGCAGAGAGATTGGGGAACGTTAGACATTCACAGAAAGACTTTTTTAAATTAGTTGAGAAGGAAGAGAATTTGGGGCCCATCTCACTGGGGAAAGTATAAAGAAATTAAAAATTGTAACAGTTAGAATAAGAACAGTTCTAGCTAACATTTACTAAGGGCTTACTATGTGTTGGTTCTGTGTTAAGCATTTCTCAAGCATTATGGCAAACCTCTCTGAAGTAGGTACAGAAGTGAAAACTGAGGTTTATTGCAGGGGTAAGTAAAGTTTGTTTCCTTCTTTTGCAAAGAGCCAAAGTAAATATTTTGTGCTTCGTGGGCCATAGTCTCTGTTGTAAACCCTCAGCTGTAGTAAGGAAGCAGCCATAGATAACATATAAATGAATGTGTGTGGCTGTGTTGAATAAAACTTTTTTATGAATATGAAAAATAAATATAATTTTCATGTCTCAAAATATTATCATTCTTAATTTTTTAAGCACTTAAAAATATAAAACTTATCCTTAGCTCACAGAACATACAAAAATAAGCAGCAAGTTTAATTTGTTCCATGAGCATAGCTTGCCAACTCCTAGTTTAGAGAAGTTAAGTTTTCCAAGATCACACAGTTGGCAAGGTATAGAATTGGTATCAGTTCAGACCAAAGTCAGTCTGCAAAATAAAGCAGCAAAAGAAATGTATCAACATTTCTCTTATTCAAATTGAGTTCCTTGCATATCCTAGTGAGGTAAGGATTAGATGAAAATGTGGAGGTACAAAGTGACAAACATATCAAGAGTATGAGCAGCCTACATGTCCATCAACAGATGAATGGATAAAGAAGATGTGATACATGTATACAGTACAGCACAAGTCAGCCAAGATGGTTAAGTTTAAGTCGCATGTTGGAAAATAGATGCACTCTAAGTCCATAATGCTAAGTGAAAGAAATTAAACACAGAAGGCTAAATATTGCATGGTTTCTCTTATATGAAAAGCCCAAAGTCTATATAATATAAATTAAAAAATAAAAGAAAGGTGGTAGGTAAAAGGGCAATAAACTTTGTGGAAATCTGAGAAAAGGTGACATGGAGGAAGGGAAATTAAAAAGGATCAAGATGCAATTTGTATATGTACCAATACCACACAATGAAAATATTCATGGGATATTGCAGATATACTAAACAAAATTTTTAAATACTAGGTAATGCTTAATATGCAGGGGTTTGACTTCCGGTAATTCTTGAAAGAACTAGAATTAGACTTAACAATGTTTCTAAATCTACTGTTTTTTTTTTTTTTTTAAGCAGCAAATAGTAAATCTGTCAGAGGTCCTTAGACCGTGTCAACAATTGCCTCAACAGAAAAAAACAAAGACACAAAACATATCCTGCCAACATCCGGAAGCAGACAGAGGGGAGATTAGACACGGTACAAAGTTCTGTGGGAAGACTTGTACCAGGCCCATGTGAAGTTATAAAGTTACAGAGGAGGGGAGGGGCCCATAGCCCTGGCTGATGTGATCAAGAGGCCCTTGATCTACTCGTCACTGGGATTAAAAATATGAAATGTACGGTTTTCCTTGAAAATTCTATATGTGATTGAAAATATGTAATATTAACCTTGTAAGAAAAAATAACAAATATCTCAACAGCAGTCAGTTCTTGTGAAGTTCAATTAAATGCCCATATTTCTTTTTTTTCTTGGGGTCATTTGCAGAAAGTGGGTTTTTAAAACTCAAAAGAGCTTAAATAACTTGAAAATCTCAAATTAAACTTATCTTCACACAGCACTTTTTAAAGTAAGGATTTTAAAATCAAGGCCTTTAAATTTCATTTCTTCTATAAAACATTGTGATTCAACAGCATGCTTCTTTAAAATCTGATTTGCAGAAGTGCTTTCTAATTGGAAATGTAACCCACAGGTTATTAGAAGTGACATTCAGATTGTCAACCAAAGAATCCAACTGTTTTAAAACCCTAAGCCATAACTTCTCATTTTATCTTTAGAAAGCGAACAGATAATGTCAGTCTGAATTTGCAAAGTAACGTACAAAATTAATTTACACATTAATATAAAATTCATTAACAGCTTAGTAAAGTTTAAAGAGATTTCAAGGAGGAACCAGCACTATTACAGAGATGGGGAAAAACTCTCTGGCAATGAACATCCTAATGCAGATTTATGAAATTGAAATCAAATGTGTAAAGGTCAACCTGGAACAAGCCTAATTAACAAAATGTAAAATTAAGAGATTACAGTGTCCAACCTTCTCAGTGCATCTCCTGTGGTAAGAATCCCATTCTCCTTTGCAGCAAGTGATTTTCAGAAATAAGAATTTCAAGATCAACTTAATCTAACAATATTCCACATGGCTGAGAAAGTACTAATCAGTATCTTCTTATTTTGATAAAGGAAGTCATGAAAAATACAATTAAATAATATTTTTGGTGTTAAGTGGAAAGTGGGCTCATGTAGAAAACTCCAGTGTGACTTAACTGGGTATGTTAGAAAGTTAGAGAAAGAAGCAAGCAAGACAGAGTTTTCATGGGAAGAGACAAGCAACCAACTCTAAGGTTAATAATAAGCCTTAGAAATTATTTAGCAAGCACGTCCACAGGGACCTTCCTACGCATCGTTGTATTATAAGAGAAGAGAGATTTCAGAGGCCCCTTTCATTTCTCAGATAGCAAGAATTCAAGGGAGAGGCCAAGTGGGAAGTTAACCAGACACAGGGAAACAAGAGCTTTGGGTGGGGTCATCCCTGGTGGCGAGGTTGGGAGAAGTGTCCTGGGGGGAGGGCTGCCTTCCAGTGCACTAGTTATCACAGAAAACACTTTCTGTAATTCACAAATGCAGCCACTCAACTCACACAGCTTTCTCGGTTGGAATGGAAATGGAAATTCTATGTGCAATTTTATTTCTTACCTACTCTTTCAGGTTAAAGTTACTCATCCTTCAAAGCGGGGGAAGGGTGAAGTCAATATTATTGATCTGTGGGATGTTTTATCCAGGATTGCAAGTTAATCACTATCTTGAAGATAAGGCATCTGAGTCACAGGATTTAAATGGTTTGATTCAAGTTAGGATTAAAATGTGGTCTTACTGGTTTAGGGCCTTCTGGAAACTGTATTTTGTTCAATGTCTAGATTTTAATCTTAAAAAAGAAAAAAAGTACATTTATGTTCTTTATTCCTCTTACTTTTAATTTTCTGGAAGATAATCATTTTCCAGGTAATCAAAAGGCTCAGTTAGTGGGTTCTATAGTAGAGCAATCAATCATATAATTTCAGAACATAAAAGGAATTCCCGTTGGGAGATATTTTGTATGTTATTGTGCAACTCAGTTAGATATCACTTTTTGAAAACATATTTATCCCTACAGCAAAGGGGAAACATATGTATGCTCATTTTACAAATAAGCAAGAAAACTGAATGAATTACCAATAATCTTGAAGAGAACTGTCTGATACTGACTCAATTAAAACTCTGGGATGTTCTGTTTGTCAGAACTACAAGGAAGAAAAAAGAAATAAAACAAAGGCAGCTCTCATAATCCTGGAAGAAAAGATATTTGTCTGAGTGCAAACCCAACCATCCACTACATAAAAGGAAGAACACAGAACTGTCCAGGACTGACTTCAAAAGCTATTTAACAAAAAAAAAGGAAAAAAGAGAAAACAAGAAAAAACTGGAAAGAAAGCTCTTGTAAACAAGGTGGAGAAGAGAGATTGAAGGGAGGAGAGAGGATTGGGAAAAAAGAAGAATCAAGATACAGTATATCATGTACAGGTACAAATCCCCTATGAAGAATGTTATCAATATGTGTATCAAAAATGTACCAATAAAATTAATTTTAAAAAAGAAAACAAAAGAGCCAGTGCTTTGAAGCACTGACCAGTTTTTCTGGGTAAATCCTATTACATAATAAATCTTTCTCTGCTTTTTGAAGTAGGCCAACTTCACCAAGATGTTTCTCAGCTGACCATAGCGTTTTCTGTTCCTTTTTTTATTAGTATATTTTAGATGTACATAATGATAACATTCATCATAGGGAATTTGTACCCATATATGATATATCTTGCTTCTGACTGTAGCATTTTAGTTAGTTCTCAAATTCTCCTGATGATAAAAACCACCTGAACTATTTACCAACATTACAGGTCCCAAATACAGAACCAGACAGTCCTACAACTAAGGACATGTCCCCTGACCAAGTCATGATTGTACAAGTTAAAGGACCCAAGTTAACTTCAAAAGGTTTGTTTTATATTCCTAAAGTATAAATTTATAATATGCATGTATGTAAAAATAAATGTTACTATATTTTTTGCAGTTGGATTTTTTTAATATTCCCCACAATTACTGAAGGAAACACAATGGGTGCCAATTAAATTTCAACAAACATGATGTTTGCTGAAACCTAGTCTTTAGGCCACACTAAATTTGGTATAAAAGGAAAATTGCATTCGAGAATGAATGTATATCAAGTTGTATCCTATGCTTAAACTGCTTTAGAGAATTGAAATGTTGGAAGGAATGATCTCAGTAGCCACCAGAAACAATGTGGGGAAATATATTCCCTAAGTTGCTAACTAAGTTTTCTCCTTCACAGGAAATGATTATAAGGCACCCTAGGATGTTTCAAGGCAATATGGCCTAATGTTGAATATATTTTTATGACGGGAAAATAATTAAAATGAACGTTTAAAAATGTAAACATTCGGGGCTGGGGATTTAGCTCAGCAGCACAGCGCCTGCCTGGCAAACGTGAGGTCGTGAGTTCGATTACTGGTACCGGAAAAAAAAAAACAAAAAAAAGTAAACATTCTTTACATAAGAAGCTAAAGTGTAACAATATACATGGAAAGAGAAGACTGAACTCACTCACCAAGTACTGTCCTAACACCAGAAGAAATAGTACAAATAAAATCGCAGGCAGGCAGAAAAGCAAAAGAAATGGAAGGTTATTGCATGTGGGTATTAATACCCATTTAAATAATTCTCCATTAAAGAGAACAGCTTGTCAGATGTCAGAGAACACAGAAAGCGGCAGAATTTCTAGTAGCAGCAGCAGAGTCTCCTCACTCATTATATGTTCAGCAGTGTTTACGAGGCCAGGAAAAAGGCAAGACTCCTTCCATCTTGCTTCTCTTGAGATCCACTGGTAGAACCCAAACTACTAGCTTTCCTGAAAAAACACTCCTCTAGGATTACAAAGCCGTAGAGCTACTTAGAATCCATGGAACACCATGGCACAAGCAGCTGCAGGAGCTGGGGCACGGCCTGGTGTGACTGTTCTCTAAACTAATCTCTAAACATATCTCCATATGTTCTCTAAACATATCTCCATATGAATACAATCATCCAGCCTCAGGTATCCAGACTGAAAGCTAGTCTTCTAAATCACAACCCTAGCACACACATGCACAGGCACACGCATGCACAGGCACACGCATGCACACGCACGCACACATTCAAGGGCCTCTATGCGGGCCACGTTCGCTGTTCACCGACACCGTGAAGCCCACTTCCTCCTGCTTGCCAGATGCCTGTCTCCCACGGGAGGCAGCTAGATCTGTGACTGTTTCTGAGCCCACTACCTTCTCTGTTTCCTTGGATTTCTCAAGAGCCTTTTTCTTTGCCTAGCTTTTGCCACGCTTCTCACTCTCACATGAGAAGACTGGCCAATCAGATGGCAGGCAAAGTCTACCCTGTGTACTCTTGCAGTATTCATCTCTGCTTAACCGCTTTCATCCTTTGCTACTCCAAGTTTTTTCTGTGGAGCTAGAAAGGCTTTTTGGCATTATTTTAGAAGCCTGATGGGAGAAAACAATTGATTTCTAGATAATCTGGTCTATAACAGCATTTAAAGTTGATTTAAATCTGTTGCTATAGGCATATTAATTTAGATTCAATGTTTTTAAAAACAGTATCATATCACCATAAACTGAATCCTTGCTATCAAATCAATTTTGCATTCATTAATCTATTTTAACTCAAGGAATAAGTAAGGTACACTTAGACAAAAGCCCTTAAGTTAGAAATTATCTGAAATTTAACTCATAAGTGGCCACTTCATAAATTAATTCAAAACTTAAATCACTGAATAGTACTTACTGTGGCATGGTAGTTTCTATACATGGGCATTTTTAGTATCTTGGTCAGGTAATCTTCCAACTGTTTCTGTAATTTTAGATATGAGTTAACATAGTCTTATTTACAGAAAAGTTTAAACAGTGACAATAATGAGATCATCATTTCATCTCAACTTCTATAGGTTATTCAACTGTTTACTCATATTAACCGTGGAAGAGAATCTTAACTAGCAGGAAGGTGTTATGTCTACAGTTCTCTTGAAATGTTATTTAATTTCTTCTTGCTATTTCACTTTCCACATGCTTAGGCTTTTATACATTGCTGAGAAGACCTGAGCTACACGTAGTTTTAATCTTTGATAGCTATTAGAACAGGTCTTGTACACAGTAGATAATTTAATGCATTTATTGATTTTGCTGAAAACCTGTATTTTTTCAGTTCTAATATTTAATTTACTAGAATACACATCACAAATTTTAAACAGCCTTGAAGAAAAAAGAGGAGGGGGATGTTAAAGAAAAAGACTATCTAGTAAGATTTACCCTGATTGTACACAAGTTAGAAGGTGTATGTTGTTTGGGGAAGTGGGGATAAAGGCTAGGGCAACGGAACAACATAGTTCAAGCATATTGACCATCACACAAAATTCAGCACCTTTTTGCTGAAGCACTAGGGTTAATAGTCATAAGCATCTTTAGTGGGACTCAGATATGTGCACACAGTAAGCCAAGGCTGTAAAATTTTGGGTCCAGCGTCTTAGAAAATATTTAGCCCAGATCCATAAGAAGATTTTAAACAAAATGAAAACTGCAAAGGAGAAATCAAACATTTATTCTGGAACATAAAACTTTCAGATTATCAAACAGAACTGAAAGACATGAGAAGGAAGGGGATATATATATTATATAGATAATAGATAACTGGGATAACTGTACTTCTGATGTTTAATGGTTTATTGAAAGGAACAGTCAGTGCTTAATTTTTAAAAAAATTTTGGACCAATTTTGCATGCTTATATCTGGTAATCTGAACAATTAATTTGAAGACAACAATATGCAATATAGCAACCATTGGTGAATTCCAGCCATTTTGTCTACTGAAACTCTGTACCACTTCTAATGTTTTTGTTTTTATTTTTTATTCTCTGTAATGGTTTGATGAATCTTGCATTCTTATATTGGTAATCTGAGCAACTTTGTTGAAGATAATATTAATATAACAACCACTGTTAATTCCTATCATTTTGTTCTGAAACCCTGTATCATTTTTAATGTTTTTGCTTTGTTTTGTTTCTGTCTGCATTGTTGGTATTTTGCTATTGTCCTTTTATTATTATTATTATTATCTTTAAAATAAAATGTTAAAAATGTAAAACAAAGAACTGATAGATATGAGTGAATGGCTTATAACAAAAAATTCCATCTGCTACCCTGAAGCAGAGCACATAGAAATGTTCCTTGCCTTGAGTTTCTTGCCTAAGCACATCTTGCTCGTACTCTTCTTAGACCTTAAGCACAGCATAGAAATGTGATTTGACATATATTCTAAATGAGCTACTACAAATACTGCAAATGGATGGGAATATACGGCTCTAAAAGCATGGATTTTGGGGCTGGGGATTTAGCTCAGCGGCAAAGCGCCTGCCTGGCAAGCGCAAGGTCGTGAGTTCGGTTCCTGGTACCAGAGAAAAACCAAAAAAAAATTAAAAATAAAAAAAATAATAAAAGCATGGATTTCAAACTCACAAAGGCTCAGTTTTTGACCAAAGCCAGCCCAGGGAGTGCCAAGTTCCTATGAATACTCGTCCTCTCCTGGGGTGGTGCACCCTCTTCATGGTTTGGGGAAGTGACTTGGGGAAGAAGGGATGTCCAACTAACTCATGAGAAACTGAACCAGCCAGGGCCTCTAATCAGTAGTAAGAGAAGTTGTAGCCAGATCTCCCTTTCCCAATCATTAGATGCCATTAAATGCCATATTTCCACAAAATCATGTTCAAAGCAACAATAGGGAAAAGACTTACCCTTCTTCCAAAGAACTGTTCCTCTTGAATCATATTTTCATGTGAACTGGGCAAACTGGGCATTTGTCGAGGCTCTTCCCCTTTGACATTTTGTCTTCTAAATGTATGTCTAAAACACACACACACACACACACACACACACACACACACGATGCAAACATTCATTAGATTACTCTTTGACTATAACTTTCATATCTTACATGAGATGGATTTTTTTGTATATTATTTGTACATGTTTGCAATTCATGCAGTTCACACTCATCTTGGGGAGTGGATACATGTATGTATCAGAACTTGTTTCTTTTTAGAAATGGCTTATTTTTTAAAGAGCTTATTTAATTGGAAATATATACCAACAATTGATTAGATATCCTAAATAGTGAACAAAATACACTTTCCATCCAACTTGAATACTGGGATAACCTTATATTCGTTGTGAAAAGGTTACCTTCTGGTGGGAATGGGAATGCGGATAAAGGCTTTGTACTTGAGCAGTTCTCTGTGGAATTCTTGAAAGTGCTTGAATTTCCTCTTGACTTGCCATTTAAATTCCCCATGTGTTAACTCAATAGTATACAGATTGATACTTGATACCTATAGTGATAAATAAAAGCTGTTAATATCTCAGATAAAAAACCCAAAAGATGCCAATGAACCATAGCTAATAAGTAACATAGAAGTATATTTAAGTTAAATCTACATATTATATATAAGTACTTAAAATTTTTTTCAAAAACTGATGGCAAAAATAATATTCTCTTCAATGTTAAGAGAATTTATTCATCTGTTAAATTATATAAGACAAGATTCCTGTAAGTCTTGTCCTCTCAACATGCATGTGCATACATGCTCAGGTGTGCACATGCACACACACACTCACAAACACTGGAAACCGGAACCGAGGTAATACAGACAATGAACAAAGGCCCTAATTAGCATTGAGCAGTCTACTCTGCATATTTAAGTAGTGAAAAGGCAGTTGACAGAGGTAGGAGAGAAGCAGGAGGTCATGGAAGCCGGGAACACCATCTTAGCCCGTTTTGCCTACCACAAGTGGCATAAATGCCTTCTCCCCCCCTTCTGAAGCAAGTTCCAAGGTTCAGGCTTGTCTATACCACACCCCTGCCCCAAGGTCACACCAGTGGTATGTGGAGAAAGTGGCTGCACTGGTGAATATTCAGAATATACCTATATAATATATGTACTATCCTTATTAAATCCTCATAACAAATATATAAATAAGCACTATGATACTCATTGCTTGGATGAGCAAAATGAGGTAGAGTTTAATAACTTGTTCAACATCACAAAGCAAACACAAGAACTAAAACATGTAGTTCGGCTCTACAGCGCATCCATTTAACTCCTACTTATAACTGTCTCTCAACCTAAAAGCTGCCAGGCAAAATGAGAGGCAAAGGTCATCTTAGAGATGCTCAGTAGTTTGTCAGAGAGACATGGGCCCTACTCCTAAGAAAAGCCTAAAGCAAAGGCTGGACACCGAGGTGGGTGTAAAGTGAGAGTCAGCAAGGAGCTAGGATAGGTGCTAGGGCAGAGCGCTCGGTAGAACCAGCACTGTCACCCTTCAGGGCACAATAAAAGAGGAGCAGGAAAGCCTGCCCAAGGCCAAGGTAGTACTTGCTTCCCTTCTCTGAAGCAGGAGCCAGTGGCAGCCTCACCCTGCCTTTGCTTAGATTTAACCTGATGGGCAAGGAGCACCACTCACTGACACCTTTCCCTGCCTGCCAGACTTGCTGCAAAATCCAGGCAGTCATAGATCAAACACAGCTCACCCACACCCAGCTCTCCCTTTCAACTGCTTAGTTTTGCCTGCTGAAGACAGTTACTCTAAGCCTTTCCCACTTTCAGTGAAAATATTTGTGCATGAGGACTAAGGGCAGGTTAGGAAATCATCAGAGAGGCAGAGCTGGCCTGGAGAATTCTCTCAGGCAGCCTCTTGGGTAACAGTATTGGCCAGTCCCATATCCTGACTTTTTTTTTTTTAAGAGACAAGCGGCACCATCATTTTCTTGCTAAACGAGCCCTGACTTTGACTCGCCATTCTAGTTAGAAGAGATAAGCCCAAGAATCCACGTAAGTAGAAAACTGGGGGGAGAGGACAGCTAGGGGAGGCATCTTACAGTATACTGGGTTAGTAAGTTGCCATAAATGTCATTAAAAAGCACTGTCCAGCAAGGAGGAAAGAGGAGTATGACAATAAAGATTAACTAAGAAGAAAGCAAATCCTGAAAGGTGATGAGGACTTGGGTGTGACAAATAAAAGACAAGAGTCTAAAAATAGGATTCTAACTAGGAGGGAGGAAAATAGAAGTCGAAGTATTAATTCATATATATTGACCAAGACAAGGTGAGTCCATAAGTGCTCTGACCCTTGATGTAGATGTGAAACGTTCCACGTCCAGAACTTGTGCTTTTATCGGACAGCCAGAGAGATACGTCTGTATATTAGGCTCCTTAAATCCTTGAGTGTTATAAATAGCAGAGAAAGGGATACACACTAAAAAAAAATAAGTACATAAGGTTATTCCGATATGCCACAGTCTCATGCTTTGCATTCCACAGGCATCCTTTTAAGAGTCATAATTGTTACAAGTAAGCTTCTTAGGAGCTCATCGCAGCCCCCGTTATGGTATCAGTGAAGGGGACAAATTGTCTGCTGGTGTTTCAAATTGTGCTCTGCCAACCATCCCTGAGCAGCTCTCCCCGCTCATATCACCAGTCTTCACCTTCCTGAGTCCTGGGGTCCCCGGGAGACACATCATAGTCCACCTCCTCTCCTTCAAAATGCAGCTCCCGTGTGTCCAGATTTTCTATCAAATTGCTCATGTCGGCAGCGATTTTCTGCAGTGCAGAGGTATTTACTCTCGACTCGTTTTTCAGTGACATGTTACCTTCAGACATGGTGAAAGCAGTGGGGCTGAAGAAAAAGAAAAGAATTATACACAGATGTATAATTTGACCAAGTAAAGCCCTATCACACATGTGGGTCTAGGCTTAGACACAGCATCTAAAAACAGGTCACCCAGCTCTGTGACAGCCCCACTTACTCACAACAACAATTCAATTGATTTTCCTGATAACATCTAAAGGGTTCCTAGTTTGTAAATTATAATGCAGTAACATATTTAGCTGTAAACAAGAAGGAAAAAGAAACACCACACTGAAGAAATGCCAACATTTCTCTCCTCAAGTTTTATGAATTTAGATAAATTAGAATAGATTTAAGGAAGCTTAATTTTGGAATGCAGATTCAGAGAAAAGAAATTGCTTGTTTACTGTAATAAATAAAAGGAAAGAGAGAATGTGACATGAAATAAGCAACTTTCACTATTTCTTAAAGAAAAATTAGGATAGTAGATTTAGAAACATTCTTACGATAGCAAATCTCCACATTTTCTCTGTAGGTGACATCCTGAGCAAAGAGTATATTACTTCTTTCAGATATGAGGTTTTGGCCATGACTTTGATTAATATACCTGTTCCAAAAGATACTTGGGGGGCTAGAATTATACTTTTCACCTTTATTGAAAGGAAACCAGTTCTATTTCATTCTGACATTTAATAACACAAGTCGCTACACATCAGTACCCAGGGAAGAAGAGTTCCTACAGATTTTATTTTTCCCTTAAAAAACGGAGATTTAATCCTTAAGGACTGTCACCTGAGCTGGATGAAAAGTTCATACTGCCTGATGCAGAAATAATCTCTCCATTATAACTGGGCTCAAAATGGAAGGTCTCTCATACCAGTAACTCTTCTGCACATGTTCATTTATTACAGCAAATCAAAAGTACTAAGTAGGTATCGATGTGTGGGATGTAACAAGTGAAAATGTGGAGATGAAAATGGCTTGTCCCTGTGATTAAAGAGCTTCTGACATGGGTGAAAGAAAAAGCCAGAGAGTTTCAAGTTCACCCCTCACTTCATTCAAGGTCTTAGGCTTCCCGAAAATGGACTGAGAGGAACACACCTAGGTGAGGCTCTTTCCTACAGGTGGTCTCAGGAAGGTGGATGCTCACAGGGAAGTGCTAAGGACCTTACACAGTCTCAGACAGTTTTTATTACAGCCCCTGGAGTCTCTAAAATGTACACACTGCCATGTGGAAAGACCTTGCTTGGAAATTGAAAGGTGAGGGTGAAGGACAGTGGTTCTGGTTTGGCCATATACACATGTACAACGCACATATCTAAGCTACCTGCGAACTGTGTAATCTATTGTGTTTCTTTTTCATATTCACTGTAAAGAAGCTTGAGGCCAAAATTATAACCTGCTATTAACAAAATATAGTACTATATTTGCTCCAATCTCTTCCCTTCAACCTCTCTCCCATTTCTCATTTATACTATAATAATAGTTCATGGATAGTTTGATTAGTATGCATCTGGCTGGTGATAATTATTTATATACATTATTACATTGCTAATTAACAACAAATCTATGAAGGTTTGCTATTCCCATTTTGAAGAAGACAGGAGTTTGTCTTTCACTCTTTATAGATAAGGAAACTAAGGCACAGAGACATTAGGTAACTTGACCAAGACTTCAGACCACCTGTCCAAGGACAACTAGTAAGAGGCAGAGCAGAGATTTCAATCAGGCTTCTCTGACTCAAAAGCCAATGTTCTCAACCACAGTCACTACCCTGATGTCTATTTTCTGGATATCCATACATGACCTTGAATAGGGAGAAGTACTAATATACGCAAGTGCCCCTGAGCAAGTCCCTTTAAGAGCTAACTGTACTGAAAAGAACTGGGAAATGAAGTTCTTTCTGTAGCTGCCTCCATAGGACAAAGCCACTTCAACTCTCAGGACTTCGGTTTCCTCAGCTCTCAATTAAGGGGACTGAGCTATTTCATTTCTAGGGTCCCCTTATAATACAACACCAATTATAGATAAAAGGTGCCATATAATTGTTCAGCCTCCCTTTTAATTTAATTATTTAATCCTCCTTCTATCCCAAGAAATGAATATAAGTAGTTCTGCATTCAAATAAAAGCAGTAGGGGCAGAATGCTTTCTAACCTGGATAATTTAATCAAGGTCAATTCAGTCTCCATAAAGGAGCTGCTGTCTCTGACTATAAGTAAAATATGTATTTCCTTTTCTCTTAATTCAACAAAGAAACACTTAGTAGATGCCAACCATGAGCCATTTATGGCTATATTTAAATAAAAGGTAATGGAAAGTTCAGAGGGAAGGAGACAAGGAAAAACAAGTCAGAAATTACATCATATCAATTGTACTGCTGATGTCTAATGGTTATTGAAAGGAACAGTTAATAGTTTACTTATTTATTTATCTTTTTTGACTAGTTTTTGCATGATTATATCTGGTAATCTGAACAACTAATTTGAAAACAACAATATGCAATGTAACAACCACTGTTGAATTCCTGTCATCTTGCCTGGTGAAGACAACTGATTTACACTCCACCTCAGGGTTAACTTTTTAAAGCAGATTTGACTGGCTTTAAATTCTTAAGAACTTGGTTAGAGAGGTTCATAATAATTTATTTTATTTTATGGTCTGGAATGTCTATCAATTTAATCTTTAATATAAAGTTTACTTATGTTTTGTGACAAGTAACATCCTCTGCTTTAGTCACCACCCCTTGGAAAGGATCAGACTAAACCTACAGTCATTAGAATGATGGAAGCAATATATCTTGACAGCTTCCTGAATTTCTATGGTTAATAAATTAAGGTCACATGGTATTTGAGTGGACCCAAAGAATAAGCAGATCTGTGCATGAATCTGTGAAGACTTGACTTAACGATGGAAAATGAATTAAGTGATTTTTCCATCACTACATTTACCTGAGTGCTTCACAATGTCTTGTGTTGAATATTCAACAATTGCATTGCTGGTCTCAATCTTGAATACCAGGCTGCAAGGCTATGTACGCTCCAATGTTGTAAAATCTTTACTTATTAGTCAATGTTCTCTTTCATCTAAAATAATCGACCCGGGGGAAGGAGGAAGTGAGCAGCTGCCCAGCTACAGCCTACGCTAAGCATCAGTGGGATAAGGCTCCCAGTGTTCACACTCGAGATAGTGTAATTCATTTTGTTACCTCCTTATAAAATAATACTGCAAGATCACTATCTCTTTCAGTACCAAGAAGAGACAGTATCCATGGAAAGATAAGAGCAGCTGTGTTTTACTGCTGTTTGCATTGGTAAATGAGTGTTGGGTTTTTTCCTGGTTGTGACTATTAGGATTAAAGTCTTTGCAGGGAATATTTAATGACTTCTGGTTATTCAGTGATGAAATATTTTAAATCTAGCATCTTCTGATCTCAGTTCTCAACAAGATGAAGAAGTAGAATGTCAAAGAGAAGCAATTATTTTCCTTTTCAGATAAAAAATATGTGAACAGTCCCTTAACCAAAATAACACTAACAATGTTATCAAGTATAATTGATGTTAAAGTAAATATTAACAGTAGCAAATATTTGCTGAATATATGTTAGATGCCAGGCACTATACAAAAGATAAACCACATGACCTCATTCAATCCTTCTTCCTACAATCTTAGAAGCTAAGTCTTACTGTTAACCACACTTTAAAAGAAGCTTAGACAAGATAAGAAATTTGCTCTGGTACACAGAGCTGAGGGCCCTGTACCTGACCTTGACTGATATAATGCCAAAGTCTATCTACTTAACAAACCGGAAGTGAGAACGAGGGTACAGGATAGTTAAAGGAGACATTTACTCCTCCGTTTTATATTCTTAAAACTAAGGAACAATAACAACAAAATCCCAGCATTCATTCTTTGAAGATAATTGTGACTCACTTCTTGTTTCTCTTTCTAAAAAATATGCAAAGTTCTCCCATATTTTTCTTATATATTATTTGTGCTTATAAAGAGAATTAAACATAATTATTTTCTAAGCAAAAAAATCATATCATAATGTATTAGTGTGTCATTAATTACAATTAGATTATTTAAAATCAACCTAGGACATAGCTAAGTTGTAAAGCACCTGCCCCTCATGCACAAGGCCATGTGTTCAATTTCACTGTAAAATTAATTAATTTAATTAAGCCAAAATAATTAATGGATATTTCTTGCTTTCCCATTCTTCATTACATGAAACTGATTAAAAGATTCATACCATATAACCCTTCTAAAGCACACTATACAGAAGTTATTTATTTGGAACAAACTCCATATTCCCTAAAGTACAAAAATCACATATGAATTCACATACTAAATTCAATCTCTAATGATATAGTAAACATTGGATAAATATTTTTCTAGTTTAACTGACTTTGAATAAAGTAAATAGTATTACTATATTTTACTTTCCAGGCAATATATTTTGAGAAAATGCATTTTTTAAAAAATCTTTTCATGTCCTTATGGATCTCTGAATTATTTTTTTTAAAGCATCACTTCTGTGAGTATTAATGGAGGGCGCTTTGGTCAGAAAATTAAATATCAGTGGTGCAAGGGAAAGGTCAGATGACCTCGGACTGTTTGGGCTTTACTACTGGTACAACCTACAAGTTACTTGCTCCAGAAGGTCAGTGTCCCTTCCATGAACTGGAAATAGTGCTGGTCCGATCTCCTGTCTTAGGAAGCCATAAGGAGTACATGAGATAATCACTACACATCTACAGGCAAAGGTAATCTAGTTGTCAGTTTCTCCTTTAATTCTCTTAAAAGGTGACTCCTGAAGAAAATAATCTTTTACTTCGGTATTTCAATCTTTTACTTCAGTATTTTTCAGGGCTGACATGCTAGGCACTATCGTGTCTTTTGTCTCTTATTGTCTCCCAAAACTAACAGCTTTTTGGTTGGGACCCTGTAAGAATGGGATTCTCCCATTCACCTAGTCTTGCAGTTTCTTAACTATTCTACACTCACTGCAGACACCAGTAAGCCTTTCTCCGTGAGCACAACCAT